CACCCTCACCCTCACCCTCACCCTCACCCTCACCCTCACCCTCACCCACACTCACACCCACATCCACACGCTCACCCACGCCCACACTCTCAAGATAGTCAAAATTAGCATGAGCTTGATGCTATGTTTTTACATGATGCTCTTGTTGATTTTATTATTGCTGGTATACCATATAGTTATTCAACGAACATATCAAGTAAATTTTATTTGAACCTAGTATAATTGTTCATTGTAGACAACTAAAGAAACGAGAAAAAGACATGTGTCTCTCTTTATTGAATGCCTGAACTTTGACGACGAAGAAAATGGCTTCTTTTTGTTGTTGAGTATCAAAGAAAAAACTAAAAAATCTGAATAAAACTGTAACTCCGTAATTAATATAGATCTTGGCAATTTCATGGGATAGGCAATATAATAGGCAACCATTGTAATGACTCTGCTTTAATCGATCCACTAGCTAATCAACAGAAACTGATCGTTTATATTTTCTTGTCTAGCATGATTTTGAATTTATTTTCTTTGTTTAATCATTTCTTCTTACAAGTAATAGTGAAAGTATGTAAATGTTAACATACAAGGCGAAAACAAATTTGATTTCAAATCCATTTGCTGACGGTTCCTATTTTATGATGAATTAAGTTTAATTAGTGGAAATTCCGGTTGCGTTTCTCTCAGTTGAATAATTTGAAGACCATTTCCTTGATCAAGACATCCAATGACTTCAAATTGACGAGCAGGAGGGAGCAACACTTCGTCTTCTTGGGCATAAAATGAATGTGATTGAATATTTTTACCTGAAGCGCATTCTATATGAAAGAGAGTTCTTTTTCCTTTCTTTCCTAAGAAACATTCATTCTTAAGTGTTTCAATCGACCGGGTACACGAAGAAAAACCCCACCAAACAATTGTACTTCCTTGAGAATATTGAGCAGTCAAATCTGATTTGATACCTCGATAGACAACATGATGAGTTGATGGAAGTTTCTGAAGAGCATTGATAATGAGTCGAAGATATAAAAACCATGGTTTTAGCTGTTCGCGAACGCTTGCTCGTAGAGTAGTATTGAGTTTAACATAGAAAGATTTCTCATATGGTTCCCATTGCATTGTATAAAGCATGATAGATGCAGATTCATCAGTGGTTAAACCATCCTTTGGCCTATGGCAATTCTCTTTAGCGATCCAAACCATTTGTTCGACATCTGGAACGAATGAGGCAACAGGTCTAATAGCCTTTTCAAGAGAAACTAGAGGCATTTTTTCAAAGCCTTGAATTGGTAAAAGCATTCGTCGTGGTTCTGCACCAATATCAGAGAATCGATGGGTCTGTTTTTGTTCACTGACATTGTTAGACATTGAGCTGTAAGTTGGGCCTGAAAAGAAATGATGAGATGTCAGCCTAGTTCAACTTATAAGGCTGATCTTTGTGACAGAAAAGTGATTCATTGAAGTCACTCATTTCTGAAGAATTTCAGTTCGAAAAGACTTAGTAAAATACCAAAAACCATTGCAATAGTGAATCTGTTAGTAACATTTGCATGAACGTTCTTTCAGAAAGCTATTTAAACAAATGCGGAATACGTTTAAAAGATTGGTGAAATTCGTCAAGAGAGCAGAAACCTTGTGGCTAATCTTTCAAGAAACAATAGATACACACTAAACCATGCTGTAGCTGTTAATATCAGCAAAAATACTTAAAATACTTCGAAAGCAGAAAAAAAAATCTAAAACTTGTATTTCTTTCCTTCAGATAAATCAGGTAGTTAAGGTAGAAGTTTTGAGCAAGAAGTTTATCGTTTAAACTCGTACATAGAATCTGATTGAACAATGAGACAGTTTTTAATCATTTAAAAAAGTAAGTTTTCTCTACACAAAAATTCGTCATGCAACAAAACTTGAAGTGTATTCAATAAAGAATGTAGAAGAGTTTTCTCAAATTTTCCTAATCACTATGAATGTCTGATAGGCTCGAATTTTCTCACTAATCGTGAAAGTATCCTAGGCAATAAGTCACAGTTTTTAAATCAAGAAATACTCTATATTTTTTGATTCCTATTGAATGCTTCATAGCCACTTTTCTATCCTTCATTAAGTATTTCGAGGGGATCAAAAAAAAAACAAATCATCAGAAATAAATGGATTCAGTTGAACTATGAAATAATGATAGAATTTACTGTGAGTGATCGATAAAGGTATATTCGAAAGAGATACAGATGCTGCTGTACCTGATGAAGATGCATTCGAGTTCGATAAAGATTTATAATGAGGTGAAAATTTTGCGTAAACAGGTGGTGATTTACTGAACGACTCAGACATTGCTCGAAGTAAATTATATAAATTACTTGTCTAAATGAAACAAATATTATCGATATATCAAATAGAGATGATTTTACATGATGCCATGATTCAAGATAAGATAAAACGACAAGTCCATCTTGATTGACGTTACCCGATGCTGAGGCAATGTACATATTGGATGTTGGTTTCACATAGACCAGTGGAGCTACCAAAGGATAATCTTTTTGTAACCAAATTTCAACTGGAATATTGTATCTGTTGCCTTTATGTTGAATACTAACTGTACCACACAGACACAGTAAATCTACTGAAGTGCCATTATTATAGAAATAAGGTTGAATCTTTAAGATCAGGTGACTAATTGATGAAGAAATCACTTGCTTCACATCACGTAAAACCAAATATTGTTGAACCACCTTAAAATCAATAAATTCGATTTTATCTTTTTTTACAAATATTTAAAGTACTTTGACTTGTTTAACCATTTTTTCAATACCATTGGGAAACTGTTTTGACATAATAGTTGCCAGCACTATAAGTTAAGAACGAATAGTAGTTTGTATTTTGAAGAATCTAATTGAGTCAACGAGTAAAAATTTCCTGCAAGAATGAGTATATAAAGAACAGCAAGTAACATATTCGAGGTGTGGGTGTTAGAAAAAGACAAGGCCAACATAGACATTTACAGGCACAGCCACATCCTTCTTTGTACTGTTTATGAAACAATTCGATTGCTTCGCAAATAGCATAGTTTCATTGTTTAATTTACATTTTACGTTCTTTAGTATCATTGACAACGCTGAATGAATCATGTCGCTATAATTCTTTTGATATTTTATAAAACAGAAGATTTCTCAAAATTGAAAATGGTAATGTTTCTTACTTGCGTAGGTAAGTCTGAGCTCCTAACTCTATCTTAGTTTCACCACTACTCGATCAGATGAACGATAGCTTGCCATGGATATCGCTTTCATATCTATAGCAATCCTTATTTATTTATATTCCAGTCATATATTCGTCATGCTCATGATGTTTAAAATACTCTTTTTGGCTTTAGCAATCATTATAATAAGTTACTCACTACGGTCAAATAACCAAAGTTGAATAAATCTACTAGATGAATTCAGCTGCGTAATTTTCAACTTAGTGGCGTGTTGTATATGTGACACGTATTTTTTTTTCTTATCGAATAATTTTCTTGTTAATTTTGTATCATGGCAAGGCTTGATATACTTTTTCTACTCTTTTTACTTTTCATTCTCGTTTTTTTTTTCGTTTCTTGCAAATACACACTCTATCGAGACAGGTTGCACATGTTTAGCAATAGAACGTTTAAGAAGTTGACCAGATAAAGATTGTTTGCAGAAAAAGAAAAAAAATTGTACTTGTCCGATTCAGTGCATTTCAAATGAATTACACAGGCCAACATTGATTTTTGTAAGATGTGAGATGATTGACTTTGTTTTGAAAAAAAAACAATGGCAAAAAATTATAAACTCCATGAGAATATTTGATTACTAATAATTAGTAGAGTGCCACTATTCTAAAAGACCTTGGCGTTTTATTCATTCTTAAATTGATGAAACTTAGATTATTATGAAGATGAGACAGCTCTTTTGTAAGATGATATAAAAAGTGTGTTGAGTGGGTGTGGACTCAAGCATGATAAAGATGTCCACACCCACACTCACTAGTTCTCGCTAGTGCATTTTTATATCCTAGATATAATAATACACATGATCACGACCCTTCTTTGATTGACTGATATCACTTGTGGCGTCATTTTTTATCACCTCATTTCTTTACTTACTTATCTGTTCTCGACAACTCGATGACACATTAAATGCACTACAACTACTCCTATATTACAGTTTGCACTTTACTTAGCCTTGTTCTAGTATGCTTCATGTCATGATATTCAGTTTGTTCGTTCAAAAAACTACATATATATTATTAAATTTTCAAAGTTTTTGCACAGTTTTAAAAGTAGTTGAAAACTTCAAAATCACCACAACTTGTAGAACATCTGTCTCTCTATTCGGCTATGTGTGCAGCATTTTATTACATTTTGAAATAATCGACATCAGTCATCATCTTTGACATACATTCACGTGTTTTTCTGAAATGTCATGTTTTCACTATAACTCAGTCGTATCAAAACCTTGTGAGCTGAAACTTTTACCATCGATGTATCTCAGTGATCCCTATTAGCAGCCCAAATTTCATCGAATTCGGAGAACTTTTTAAAAACCGAGGGTGTTCTTTACCTGTTTTTCCAAAAAAATCCGGTATTCCGTTTCAATTATGTGCAAAAAAAGCCAAAAAAAAAAATCTTTACTGTAATTTTGAATTCTCTAAACCTTAGAA